GTAGACATCGCCGTAACCGCGGCAAGAGTCGATGAATATCTTATTAGCGACGAAATTTTGCAAAGAAAATCCAGGTCGCTTGCAGGAAATACATAAACAGCCTAAAATGTTTTATTTAAGGATACTTGTCCATCAGAATGAAGAACTCAAGCGACAACAATTGGCAATTGAGGAAGAGCGTGAAAGTATGCAGAGAAGCTTTGATGTGATGGTTTATCGCTACGAAACTGGTGATGAACTTGATCAAAGCGTTGGTTCACAGAAACAAAAACAGACCCCGTAAGGAATTTCTTTATCTTAGAAGGTTTTTCCATGTTTTGAGTATTTTCAATGATTTTTCAAAGTGACTATATAAAATATCAACCTAGGTAATTTTTGTTAGCTGACTAGCTTTCATTTAGACTTTTTGATGCTAAAAAGACAGAAAAATAGTATTTCAGTGCAAAAGTGCAATTCCGTTCACGATCGAGCAACTCAGATCGACCACACTCCAGTGCGAGGCTTTCACAAATTTCCTGTAAGCTTCGCATTTGAAATATTTTTTGTTTAATTCTTCCATTTGTTTTTCTTTCTTTTTTTTGAGTTTGAAATGCTGGACTCTGCCTCAGTCAATTTTTTGGATATGTTGTTCCAGTTTGTCTTTGTACCAGTTGAAGTTATTTAGAGTCACCTTACAAGAATTCTTTCTAGGTAGTAAATGAGTTTTTTTTTGCCTTGAAATAGTTTGCGAAAAGAAATCCTAACGTTTTTTTTTTCTGAATGCAAACTCTTTTTTAAGATCGCTTATTCTTGTCTGATTTACCCATATCTTTAGTATCTCCTCTTATTGAATATTCCTCAACTTTTCCACGTATTCTTTTTTCATTTTCTTGAACTTTCTTATATTTGTCTCAAAAATGTCGCATTCCAGGTGAAATGGATCGATCAACAGATCGTGATTCATTGATTCGATCGACCGTATCCATGTATGCGTCGCAAGTTCAACTGCCAGATAATCATGCCGATGACGTCATCTATGCACCAGATGAGATAATCACAAGCAGTGGTGAGTCAAAACTGATGATTATTGTCATTTGTTTGATACGGTGAAAACCTTACGTGAGGGATTGATACTGTATTGTTTAGTTTATAACAACCGTGCTGCAACTTCATCTTACTGTTCCAGGGATGATGTTGAACGAAGTGTGAACGGGTGAGTAGTTGCAAAATTGGTAACTTAGGTGGACAGACATGCATTTTTACCGTACTTCACGTCTCTTACCCTAAGATTTCGCAAAACCATTGATGATGTAAATGCGCTTCCATTCACAACAGCTGACCTTGCAAAGACACACAGTTTTTGGGGGTTCTCAT